TCAGGCGTCTGGCGTTCCCGGCCCCCACCCCCCCACCCCCAATGGTATGGTCTGTGCGGAGAGGGGTCGGGGCGGTTGGGTGGGGTTGCGGCCAGGGGCCGTCGGGCCGGGTCGGGCCTGGTCGGGCCGGTCGGGCCGGGATCTTACGCAAGCCCTACGCAAGCCGTAAACCCGTAAGGTAGGGCGTGTTCCTGTTTCTGTTAACCTTAACCTGTACGTAATACTTTATAAAACTTCCACCCAACCTAAACCCCGCCTAAATGCAGGGTCTAAGCTTACAGCAGAACATCAACCGTCACCTTAACCAACCTACACCCCAAACCCTCGCTAAGCTCTTGTCGACTCGCAGCCTTATAACTTTTAACTTTAAACCCTTAACCCCAAACTCAAAAGCTTGAGCTAAACCCCAAAGCCCCAAACCCCGCAACCACACCACGGGGGGAAGAGGGACCCCACACCCCACCCACAGGGAGGGGGGGATCCTGCACCATGGACCATGGGGAGGAGGGGAGGGAGCCGCGGAGCGCCTGACCATCCATATATATATATATATATATATATATATTTTTCTTTCTTTTATTTATTTATTTATTTACTTAGTATAGAGAGAGAGACATAAATATAGAAAGAAATTTAAAGTGGGGGGAGCGAGTGCGCGAGAGAGAGAGAGAGAATGGAGTGATGGTGGGACAAATCTCATCATGATGAACATCCGAGAACTGCCAAACCGGCCCGCCTTCTAGCGGCCTTGTGTAGAAGCGTCTCACCTTGTCCTTGGCAGAACTTGCAACATCCTTCTTCATAGCACCGAGGCCTGTATTTCCATTTAGAAATTGGGAGCCCCAACCCCACTGCGGAAACGCTTTGCTAGCATGCACTGAAGCGAGGCACAATTCATCAACTGCAGGCAGTCTGACGACACGTCGTCAAGTCCCAGGAGCCGTAAACCCTCCGAGTCGACCCTGTGAAGGTTCAGCGGCTACGGAACTTACATAAAGGGCAAATCACCCGCAGTCGGTACCAGTCATTGGAGAGCCTTCAAAACTCGGAACTGCCCGACTTCTCCAATCAAATTGCGCAATCCCCTCACTGTGTTCAGACAGACCTTGAACCTAAGCCCAAGTAACGCCCCTGCTCCCAGCTGCTGAAGAATGAGAAGCCACTCGCTCAGTTACAGGATCGACAAGGCAACCAAGATTGACACATGATATGCTCTTTCACCCCCACAACAAACCACAGAATTCCGGTGGTGACCTTTCAAATCAGAGGCCCTAAACGCCCTAGGTGGTGACAGCTCAGACAGCACCCCAGCATTTGCTCGAGCCACCATCCCAGGCGTTGACGTCCAGCTGCGGCGTTTGCGCAAGCGAGGCGGCGAGAGTGGCAAGCCTTGGCACTCCGCCGCATGATTATGATCATTTTTATTTTTATCGTTGTTAAACTTACTGCGACGACGACGACGACTACGACGACGACGACGACTACTACTACTACTAGTACTACTACTACTACTACTACTACTACTACTACTACTACGACGATGACGACTACGACTAGGACTACTACTAGGACGGTGACGACTACGACTGTGACTACGACTACGACTACTACTACTACTAACAATAGTTATGCAGAATCATACGACGACGACGACGACGACGACGACTACTACTACTACTACTATTGTGTTTTACGGCTTGACGGTTTTAGCACTGACACACGGACCCTCAAAACGAGCATGTTCCTAATTCTGCTTGGAGGTGCATCGAGCTGAATCATAACGGCTTTTCGTGCTTCACTCCCTGGCAGGAGCGATGAGAGTTAGTGCGATTTTGCGTATGCATCTCGTCCTGTGTATACATTAGCTATACATACATCATTCTCGTGATACATAATAGTACGAGTATATACTTAGGCAAGGCTCTCCTCGCCGCTCGCATGCAGCACCTGCCAGGGGTACTGTCACAGGCGGTCGAATTGGGGCCTTTTTTCTTCAGTCCAAGGTGGGTACTGGCTCGTCTAGTGCATCCAGACAGCTCCTGCTTCGGAGGCTTCCCCTTGATATTGCGATCTGCTTCCAGAGAAATCTCGTAGTAAGCTTCCAAACAATCGGAGACAATGGAGCTTCCCAAACCACGGAACCTCTTCTGCTCCTATTCTTTCTTCTGCCCAACCCTCAGCTCCTAACTATGGTATCATGTGTCTGCAAGCCAGATTGGAAGTTTTTTACTATTGACATCCCTGCTCCAACTCTGAATCTGGGACTGGCCTTCTTCTCCAAGTGCTGCGCGTAGTGCGGCGATGGCTCAAATGCAGTGGTCTTGTGGAAACCTCGGCGCACCCGGGAGCTACAACATTCGATTGCAGGGTAGCTGAAGTAACTGGAGTGATGCTGGGTTGGACGACATACACTTCATCTTGCAACGTTGAGCAGGTTCGTAAGACTGCCATGCATCAAAGTTAATCACGCCTCTGATCAGGCAAGAGCTAAGAAGCGTCTTCGACCAACAGACCTGAAGTCCCAGACAGATCATGGAGGAACCGTTTTGCATCAACCCTGGCGAGCAGCGGCCAGGAAAAAACTGGTCTGGCCCCTTCTCAAAGCAGCCGTTGATGTCTGACGTGGGTGACAAGCCGCGACTGTCGCGCGTGAGCCAGTGCCTTCCAGGACGGGCAGCGCCGCCACATGCAGAATCAAGCCTTACATTACCTTCGCACTACTAGTCGTTTATTCCAATTTTGAGGCCTCCGTCACCTCCTCATTCTGCAAGTACCCTCTTGATGACTTCGGGTGTCCCTCACTACTCCTCAGATCAAGCTGCTTGTGCGACTGGTCCAAAGACTTTCGCAGGCTGCTCCTGGGAAACATGGACGTCACAAAGAGGGTGAAGTAGGTCTGATCTGCTGGGAAGCTCCGTTTGCTTCACACTCGGGGTTCGTCCAAATCAAGAAAAAAACTCCTTCAAAGGGCTACGGCGTCCAATTTTCGCTTGGAATGGGACAATTAGCCCAGGCTCGCTTGCAGCGCAGGCGAAAGGGGGCTGACAGTTTTGGCGGCTTCCAGGCCTCAGTAATTGAGGCGCAGAACCATGATGGGCATCAAGATTAGGTAAGAACGATGCTGCTTACGGTTCGACCAGGATGGAAATCACAGCTCTGTTGCTTTCTTGATGCAGTGGATAGATAGAGGAGACCTGCGAAAGAGAAGCATGCAAATCAAGAAGCTGTGTTGGCCGAAGGTCACAGCTGCGTAGCTGTAGTCCATTCCGAAGCCTAAGGGCTTCAGGGATTGGACCTGTACGAATGCGTCTTCGGAATGTCAGGCTTTGGCTACACACGATCTCGACACGGTACAGGAATAGCTTGCTGCTCAGGTACAACCGCTAACCGATCACGCGGATGTTCGCGGCAGCTTGGGCCTAGAAGGGCTACCGCCTCAAGCCTCCAAGGAGAAGGTTTGGAATTAAGGATGTGCTCAGTCCCGTTTAAAAGGGACCTCAGTTTATAGTATGCCCGCCCGATTGAAGTCGAGCCAGAGTACGCACTGCATCGGTGAGGTCTCGGCATCCCTCCTCACAACACGCATCAGGGTCACAACCTGCGGCTTGCAAACGAATGGAAAGGCCCCTTGCAGTGGCATCATACCTTGTGTTATGTGCCTTCCTTCTTACGTACTCCTGCTTTGTAACCCGATTGCATCGGGCCACTTTAGCGGCCACTGCATCTTATCGCCTCTATCGCGTGAATCACTCACTCGGTTCCATAGTCTGCATGCAACGCACCAACTCCGTGGATTCAGGCCGAGGCCTGTGGCTTCCATGACTTCCCATGTGCGCCAAAAACAGGCTGCTCAGCTTGAACCTTCTGCATCCCTGGCATCGCCCTCCTGGCACACGTAGAAGATCAGGTTGCTCAGCTGCAAGTGCTGGACAGCCCCCAGGAATCGCCGCTGCTCCGTGATCACGACCTGTGCTCCCGCAAAGTACCAAGCAAAGGATACCAGGAAGTGCCCTAGTAGAAGTGGAACGACAAGCCTGATGTGGAACATGGTGAGGTTATCTAGACCATGGCTCAGAAGTTCCACTCTTCCTTCTGACCTTGAACACTTCCCACACCAAGCACACTGGAAACTCTCCCAAGCCGTGGAACCAGCAGGAAGACTTTCTGGCCACCCAGTAGGCGCAGCTGAGCATAGAGCTCCTGGTCCAAGGCTTCAGGCGCTCCGAACTTACCACAGAAAAAAACCTACACAAATCTTGGGGGTTCCTTATTGTAATTATAGTAGAATATACCCCAAAACCCTCTTCTAATATATAGCCCAAAACCCTATTCTAATTATTAAGGCCCCTAAACCTTGGTCATCCCGGCTCCCTCGAAACCTGACACCTGGTCTTCCCGACTTGTCGGCCACCCGCAAAAACCGAGGCCTCGCTGGAGTCCAGCTCTTCGGACCGCGCACAAACGCGGATCAAGAGCCTCAACAAGGGGGTATCTATACTGAACTTAGACCCCTAGCAAAAATTATGATTTTAGCTGCTTCTTAGGGTTTATAATAACCAAAGATTAAAAATTATTTCTAAGTACCCCTAAGGTATAGTTTGCTATAATTCTAAGAAGGAACCCCCAGGGGTATATTGTACTATAACTATCATAAGGAACCCCCAAAATCGGTATGGGTAAGTATTAAGGCCGGGCTTTTTGTCCCTCCTACTTGGCAAGGATGCACCAAGGGGCTTTGGGTCCAGGGTTCAGGGGCCACGGATTGGAAGGGCGAAGGCAGATGCTAGCTGCTACGGGGTGGAAAGGGAGGTGCTCCTTTAAAGCTGTCGAGGCTGAGTTAAGTGCAACCTTCGGCTACAAGTACTCTTGTGAAAATGCCAGGGAGCAGGGGCCGCGCGGTGGCCTCGGTGCAGGCCTTCACGAGCCTGCAGGCAGTCAGTCCGCAAGGCCTGTTCAAGAGGCTATTTCGTTATTAGGTTGGGGGCACGGCGAGAATGATGCAAAACCCTACAGTCCAAATCACCAAACGCAAGAACCGCAGCAGAAGTCGGAGCCGGAATGCTGGAGCAGCCGCTCGCCGCGGCGCTGGAAGGCACCCTTGGAGGAGCCTGCGACAAGTCTGCGCTGTTGGTGCATATTTAGTCTGTTCATAAGGGATCTTTCGACATATTGTGCATAAGGGATCTATAGGGATTTATACTGAGGCCTGGATTTGAGCATGTGCCCGGAAATGAGGCCCCGACTGTGCTGTGGATTCGTGCCACACGGCTACCCTATCCCAAGCTGCAGGAACCCTGAAGATTCGGAACGCGAGGTCTGGAAGGTCAGGTAAGACACTATCACCCCAACAATTGCTGACCAGGAAGTCGAGGTGGAAGCAGCTCTGGGAAGCCAACAACCTTTAGAAAGAACTATACCCACAAGCAGCTACGGACATAAGCACGGGATCTGTCCCAAACCCCTTACGACCTACTCAGCCGCGAAATGCTGAGAAGTCCTCTTTAGGCCCCAAAACCGGACACTGAGCTCCTGTGGAGATGTCGTGATGCGGGAAAGCATGGTAGGCAGAGCGAAAGGATGTATACCCGTGCTCGCCGACGACCTTCGGGACAGGGCCGTGCTGCAAAGCAAAGCTTCGGCATACAAAGTAGAGGCTTAGAGTGGCTTAGCGGTTCTAGCAGAGTGTGGCGTTAAGGGCTTTCCGCTCCTGCCTGTGCATCGTCGTAGTGCGTGAAGTCGCGGAAGCCGTGCCGGAAGAAGTAGAGGACGCCCTCTACCCTGGAGACCAGCCAATCGAAAGGCATTGCCAGTTGCTCCACGAACCTTGCAAAACCGATTCGTAGCGGAAGCTTTTTGCGGCACTACCAGCTACAAGGGGTACATAGTGGAGTGCTACGGAAGCTCTTCCTGCGTCAGGTCTCATTAATGTGTTTTGGAACCAGCATCGCCTGCTTCCCCTTGCCCCCCTAGAAATGCTGTGAATGCTGAGCGGCATCGCGTCCATGGCCTGCTTCACCACCTTAGTGCATCCTACAAAGAATTGGTGTGCCATCTTTGAAGCAGAGCCTCTTAGACCAGTGGGGTGGCTTAAGTCAATCGCGCCACGAACCAGGCAGCATACCACGCCTTCGGCGGACCCTGTACAAATTCTGCACAGACGAGATGCCTATGCAAGTAGGTGTAAACTTGTCATGAACATGTGCATGTGCTTGCGTTGCTGTATGAGCAAATGTATGCATTCGAGCCTGTGCAACTTCCCAACTCCCCAACCCCAGAACCCCAAAACCGTCAGAATCGTATTTAACAGTCCTGATGAAGGAGTGCTCTGATTGATTCACGGATCCTTGTTCTAGGATGCTTCCCAAAGGGAACACGACTCAGAACAGGCCACATCTCACTACATGCGCACCTGAAGGCAGTAAAGTCCCACGCCTGACCACCCAATAGCCGAAAAAACATCCTGACACCCAGGCCCCCACAGCTATCTAGGATCCCTTTTCGGCTCAGCTGCATCCTTTTTGCAGCAGGGACTGTTTGTATACTTAAAGGATCATGGGACTTAGTAAGTAGGGTTATAACATGTTATAACTAAGGTACCTATAATTATAACCCTAATTAGGGGACTTATAACCTTACTTACTAAGTCCCATGATCCCCCAAGAAGGCCCCCAAGCCTTGGCCTCGAGCTGAACAGCTAAGTCAACGCCAGGTCGCGCAGGCGCACCCGAGGCCTAAGCTTCGAAAAGCATGCAAAACAAACACCTGTAATGATGCTAGTCGTACTATTCGTCTTAGAAATAGTCGTATGAGTAAAATTATTAGTGATTGATTAGTATTCTTACTATTACACTATCAGACCTTGGCCGGCGTTCGCTTCCACGGTCGTTTCTGTGCATGGCTGAGCTGACACGTAGTTCGGACATGTTTCAGTGGAGGTGCTGGTACCATTGAACTGCGACTCGTATCTTTTGCGGGGTCTTCTTAGTAGGAGCTTTCGCGGGCTTTCGTGGAACCACCTACGCGGCCAACTTTTAACACGCGTTAGGCTGCACGTTAGGGTCTTGCCTTGCATCGGAACGTTGCAAGAACAACGTCGAGTTTGCCTTGAGCTGTATTTGTTTCGAGACCGGAGCAAACAAGGAAATGATTTGGGCTCTCCGATAGCACCCAAGCTCTGGTATTCACAAGGCTGAGATCAAAAGAACAACCCCAACACGCAAGTCCTGAGCTGCGGTGCAAGGGACTTGCCACACCCAGCCCAAGGCTCAGGCGCTCACCCTGCGAGTTCCGGGCTTCTGGCTTAGGGTTTGGGGCTTACTTAAAGGGCTTAGGGAAGTTTAGGGTTTAGGGTTCCTTTCTGGGCTGCTCCGGGCATAGGGGACGGGAGATGCAAGTAGCTTCGGACCTCGCAGCCTCCCACACTTTTGGTGCAACCTGCCCTCCGAGGCGCAGGCTTGATGCTGGGTTTTTGGAGCTCTTGAAGAGAGATAGCTGAGTATCACAACTACTTGAGAGGCCACATATATCACATTGGGTAGCAACCTGAACGGCACCTGAAGCCTTATACCAGGACTTGCTCGGCCTTGGAAGGACAGGGGTCACCGCGAGCTGTGCGGCCAGATGACAGACAATCGTCTACCTGAGCTGACAACTCCGTTGGCGTGGAGACTTTGTGGGCCGGCGACCCCGAAGACGAAACATGCGGATTTCGGGGTGCGTCAGAGGAACGCCTTCGTCATCCGCATGCACTGAACCCCTGTGCCGACAAATCTCTGCGAAACTCAGAACCCTTGGTGCTGCAGCTCCAAACCTGGCAAGATCAACTGCACGCACTCCTGATCTGTGCTGGCCCAAGCTGCTGCCAGGCACGCCACGTGCACCTGGCGCCGGCAGCCCTTCGCATCGTAGATCACGGCGAAACTCTCGGCCTGGTTCTTCCTGACCACGAGATTCGGTGACTTTGCCAGTCGAGGTCTGCTTTGAAGGTTCGTCTTGGTGCGCAGCCAGCAGGCCCCGCAGTTTCTGAGAACTGCCGTGTCTCAGCTTATCCAAGGATCTCCACCCTCCCAACGATGCAGCGCTGGCCCGACAAGCCTAGGCCAAGGGATCCTACGACGGTACCCAACTCTGGGTCCACGCGCTCGAGAGCCATGACACCAATCGCAAAGGGAGATACCATGCTCTGAACTGCGCCTAAGCTCCCATCACAGTTCGAGGCACCAGGTAGGCCGATAATGATGCAGCGCGCGCCGCTGCAGACGTCGAAGCAGCAAACGCACTCCAAACGATCGATGTCATCCTGCTCAAGTTCTCCAGGCCTACACAGAACCCAGAGCTAAAGACAACAGAACACTTGGTGGCTTTCTGATCAGGGCATCGGATCATATCTGACAGCGATGACATGCCGCGTGCTTGCAGCTGCTCAGCAGTTCCTCTCTCCTTGCCAATCCGATACATGGTCGTCGCGTCCGCCTCCCCCCCAACCACGGCATTCCATGGTTCTGGCCGACCCTGCCGCAAGTGTTGGCTTGGAGCTTAGGCTTTAGCTCCGTGGGGCACTGTCTTTACATCGGCCATGCCACTCGGAGATATCTCTATGTTCTCATGTAAATGAAAGCGAAGTAAGAGAACAGAATTACAAACGCACCCCAGCTTTTGACCTTGTTTCAGTGCTGAACGGACTAGACTAGCAAGCGGCGGTTGCTTGCCCTCGACCTGGCCATTTGCTACTCACCCACTCACAGCACCGCACGTTCCTCCATACAAACCGGTTAACTGCTTGAAAAAGCGACAAGGGGTGATCAAGCGGACAAGCGGACCTGTTGCATCGTCAGCAAGTCGGCTTCATCCAAGCAGCGGTAGCAGCGAGGCACCAGCTGTGTCAGCACCCACTTCCTGAATCAAAATCTTTCGGATGCTCATCCGAGGTTTGGGTCCCCCAACTCAGCGTGAAAGCCCCTGTCGCGAGACGACACCCAACTATACGTGCTTTTGCCGTGGTTTGGTGCCGGGTTGCCACCTTGCCTATGGCGCAGAACACTCTAGCACGATCAGGCTGGAGGCTGCTGAGTGCTTCCCAGTCACCGCAAACAATCTTGGCAGTAACTGTGCTGCGATTCGCAGGGCAGCATTCGGATCTGCGTTTCCAAGAACCTTGGGCGCGACACTCTGGAGCAAATCGTGTCTGTGCTAGTCCAATACCTGTACTAGACACGCTTGGAAGTATGGCAAGACGAAGCGAAGCATAGCGCAACACAACAAAATCAAACCTGACTGGCCTGCCTTTCATGAATGTGTGGGCAGGCAGGTAGGCAGGCAGGCAGGTAGGTAGGTACTGTAGATAGATACGTAGCTAGGCGTGTGCGTGTGTATGTGTCGATGTCTATGTCTATGTACACCCATATGTATACGAATAGGTATACGCATACATATATGCGCAGGCATTGCCGGCATATACAGACATGTCTGCATATGTGTATGTACATATGTGAATATGTGCTTGTGTGTGTGTGTATATGTATAGGTATATGATGTCTATCTACAGGTCTGCCAATGTACATGTACATGCACATGTATGTACACACACACATATATATATACATATATATATATATATATATATGTGTGTGTGTGTGTGTGTAAGTGTAAATGTATACGTATGTGGGTGTGGGCGTGTATGGTTGTATGTGTTCGTATCTGCGTGTGTATATGTGTGTATATGTAATGCGCATACTTACATACGCATGTATGCAAGCGCAGATGTGTTCTTAAATATCTAATTAACGATTGGGTAGTAATTGCTAAGTATCAACGTGTAGTCATTCTTTGCAAACAAACAGTTGTCGACTATGACCTGCCAATTGTTAGCTGCCACAAAGTCAGCTATTTAAAACGTTCGATTTAGTGGATAAAGATATATACACATATAATAATATATATATATATATATATATACGTATATTGATACTGTTATTAATGTTATTATTATAATTATAATAATTATTCTTATTATTATTATTGTTCTTAACAACTGCGTGCGCGCGAAGTACAAAACATTGACCATTAGTTAGCTACGGGTTACGAAGACTTACCTGCCCTGCCCTTAATCATTATCCGTTCTGATCACCGTACATGAACACGCACTGATACACACTATAGGACAGAGGGCCGGAGAAGAGCTTCCATCTTAAGGTTGGCTCGACTCAGCGATCTATGGAGCATGGGCCCAATGGGGAATGGAAGGCCCAAGGACATCTTCGAGAGCAACCTCGTGGAAAGGTGCCCCCACTCGGGAAAACTACACACCTGCTTTGGGCTCCAGCCCATCCAAGCCATATCAGAAGCCCTAAACCCTGATAGTAACCTATCTAGTAACCCTCTACAGCAAGTGCTTGAAGGAAACGCCTTGTACGCCCAGCAACTGCCCGAGGCACATCTCGCAGCTCAGACCCTCCCGCCTGGGCGCCTTCTCCCTGGCCTGCGACATCGGCTCCAAAATATCATTCATCAGGCTTCTATAAGGGTTCCTATACGGTTGCAGAAGTAGGGTTCCACAAGGGTTCCTAGAAGGGTTCCATAAGTAGGGTTCCACAAGAGTAGGGTTACTAAGGCTTTCGGCTTTCTTCTAAGCTGCTGTCTCTCCCTCCGTATCCTGTGTCTTCTTTACTTTTGGAGGTCAGACGCGAGACCAGCTTATGTGAGGTGGGTGCTTCAACGAGATCGGCGACCAGGCCGAGGCACACTTTGCTTCAAGGGAAGCTTTTGAGAACATGCTGAAGACAAAGCAAGTTACATGTAGGACTGAAAGCCTGCTAGAACTTAGCATCATTCGGGTCAGATAAATCCAAAACACTCGGCGTATGCCGGAGGACCGGATAACCAGCAACACGAAGCAAACAGCAAGAAGTCACACCAGTATTATTTGTCAACTGGAAGACATGAAGCAAACTATACAAACTCAGGCCAGCTTAGCTTTCGCCTCAGGCCCTTTCCTCTGGGCACAGACGTGGAGGTGCTCCTCCACAGCCAGAACAGAGGGAGGGAGGATTGGGTTTTTGAGCTCCTACATCCCAAGCTGATGGCTTCGGATCCGGACTTGGAACTTAAGACTTTCACTCGGTTGCTTGTGCCGTTTTTGGTCCACAGGCATTTCCGACAGATGCTCGTGGGCTTGAGCATCACATAGACAGGGCTTTGAGGGGTCCTTCCTTGGAGTTTTTGGTGCAGGGGGACCCCAATTCTGCCCTTGCTGCACAGATGAGCCCCTACCGGACAAGTGGCCCTAGCTTCAAATCCGAAAACCGAATCCAAAACTCTAAGCCCTACAGTATGGGGCTATGCTTGTGTGTGTGTCAAGACACCGCCCCGATCTCGAGGTGGCCATCAAAGGTCTCGAAGCCCACCTCTCACCGAGGTTGCAGCGTAGGATCGGAATGGACTATTTACCTCTACAACCCTCGAATGTTGTGTCCTTGGGTCCATTCCTTCGGGCCACTTACTGGCACGTCCAGCCTACCTGCTCTCAGTGGTGGGCTCCTGCTCACGTTCACCATCGAAACCGAAGAGTAGGGATTTGGAGCCGGGCTTGCGAAGGTACGCCTAACTTGACCACGGCCGAGGCCGAAGCTTTTGAACAGTCCAGACGACAGCGGCAACAGGAACGCCAAAGACAAGGAGGCCCGCCGGCATCTTCGTGTACGACCCTGATGGCACAGCTGAGAGAAATAACAGCCGCCTGCCAGCGCCGCGAGCTGCCGTCGAAGGAACCCAGGACTCCTATGTGCCCGTTGAGGTACCTTACTGCAAGTGTCCGCCTCTGCTTTTCTGTGGCTCAGCACTGGCGACTCCAGCCAATCGCCCCCTCACAGCTTTGGAGCCATGGAAACACTCGTGTGCCAAAAGGAACACCTGCAAGAAAAAGCAGCTCGAAGCTCAAAATAAAGATTGCCTTCCTTGCTGGTCCCAGGGGCGCAAGGTGTGTGGCACCAACGGAACCCGGCAGCCAGCGGACCATCACGCGCATGCCGCCTTCGGAAAAGAATCAGAAGCACTATGGTGATTCGCCCGGCTCTTAGCCGAGTTGCTTCCGTGATGTCGAGCTTATGTGGCTTTGGCAGCTTTGCTCTTTGATAGGTGGACTTGGCGGGTCGTTGCTGCAACCGATTGTGGTTGCCTTAGCCTTAGACGCTTTCCGGGGCTCCTGGGGCACAGCATCATCAACACAAACCGGCTCACGGTGCCTGACACATAGTCCATGTGGCTGGACTGTGAAAATCAGCAGGCAATATGGGATCAGCACATGCATCCTATCGTAAAACCCACACGAAACCTTAGCGGCCTTCCAGCTTCTTTCCGCAAGCTGATGTCAGTTGCCCTCCTGCTCGCACCGCGAGCTGTTTGGCACCATGGACTGCCTTCCAGAAGACTTGGTTAGGTGAGATCGAAAGCCATCTGACATCGAAGGAACCTTAAATCAAGTGCACGAAGACCTCTCGGTTCCCCCACTATCCCCAAACCAACCTTGCGCTCGCCGACTTCCAGAAGCAAGCGGACGGTCTCCATCGCCTTCGGACAAGACGTCGACCCTGTGTTAACCAGGATCCAGCATCGGCAAGTCCTATGAATCCCATGCACCTTCCCCAGCTTGACCTCCCCGACTTCTACTTTTCCTTAGCCTCGGGGTTCATTTACGTAAGGCAACAGCTGCTAAGTAAGCTGCACCTTCAAACCCCCCGGATCCGATGCCACGATGCCACGATGCCACAACAGCAGGGGCCTCGCGCACATCTGCGTCCCAAAGATGCCTTGCACCCTTGCGGCACAACTCGTGCAGTCCACCTTCTCAGAGATTTCGGGATTCGAGGCTTCTGGGTGACATCGTTTGGGTCTCACCGTTGGTTTTGACTCTGCTGTCGTGACACGGCTTGGGCTTCTGAATCTGCCCTCCTTGCCTGGGACAGAGCCCGAGCCCCGCAGAGATTCAAGAGCTTGATCTCCGATGCGCTCCAGAATGCCTTGGCAAAGGCTCCAACGGACGCAACATCTAAAATTGGGCAACAGCACATTCACGCCACGCGGTATTGCAGCTCTTCCTACATCCCGTAAGAGATCAAAACGCGCAAAAGGCTCCACCCGACCTGTGACACGGCAACTTAACCTTCCTTGAGCCTCAGTATGCCTCACTGAGCCGTAGTAGCGTCGGAAAGCCAAGCTGGGCACGGCGCTTATTGCTTGAGGCGGCATGTATGGGAAAGAGTCGGTGAAGGACAAGGTCACCGTCGACGATTTCCTGCGAGGAGAGGCTATCGTCGCATCAGCACCCGGGTTGGCTGCGTTTACATCCCCTGCATGCCGTCGATTTGTATGATGCGCATTTCCTATGCTGCCGGAAAGCTCCGGATCATGCTCCAAGACTGCCAATCCAGCCTGCACGCCGCAAGTGCTTGCTGATGCTCTCTCAACCTGGGAAGCCGGACCAGTCTTCAGTGCGTTACGCAGGCCGCAGGCCGGTTCAAGGTGCCCAGAAACAAGCAGTGCTGCAGAGGAACACGCAGTGCCACTGCGACCCCTGGTTTCTAAGCTATGGCAGACGTCTCTACTTTCGTGCTGGGGAAGGCATGCGGGAAAAAATCTAGCGAAAAACAGCTTTTGCCTCATTCAGGCATCGACAAATGCTTCTGCTCCTCCTCGTCGTCATAGCACAATAGTCGTACAGCGGCAGCAGGTGCAGCAGCATGTAATATAGGGGCCGCAATCAGACTAGGCTTCGTGCAGAACCCCGAAATAGAATTCGTAATAAGGCACCCCCAAAATGGTTTTGGTCATTCTATATTCTCCGTTTTACACCTGGACTACGCATATGCCAGGAACCAAGGCGTCTATATTCTCCTAAACCCTAAACCCTTTAAGTATGGATGGATCCCAAGGCCAGGCAGCAGCTCGGCGAGCCGCTGCAAAACGCCAAGCAAGTCCTCCAAGAGAGAAATCGAAGATACCAACCATCAGCTGCTATTACTACATAGTGCTCTATCTATATATATATATATATATATATTACTACATACTACTATATATTACGATGTCTTACTATATATTACTCTATATATATATATATGTATGTATGTATGTATGTATGTATGTATGTATGTATGTATGTATGTATGTATGTATGTATGTATAAATGTGCGCATAAACCTTCTAAAAAAACTTTATACTTCTTATATAAGTATTACGACATATTCTCATATATCATACCCCTTTGAATTTCAGGGCTCGTGGCTCATTTCTGGCGAGCCATTCTAGAAGGTGTGCCGGCTTAAAGTTTCTAGTCTCAGGGGTTGTTTGAAGTGGTGCTGTACACATATGCACACAAGAAGGCCGAAGGAGAGAAATGCAGAGGACCGTGCTTGCCGCAACAATCCAACTGTAACTCAAGTGCTCTGTCATTCAGCAGACAGCCATGCAGCACTTCAAGGAAGCAGTCCGGAATCAAGCCTCAGATGCCGACACCCCGAACTCTCGGCCCACACCTCCTTTGAAAGCTCCGTCTCGCCGTTGTCCGTGTCCCGCGCCCTGGATCCAGCATCTGGCAAGCGGTTGAGGCGGCGGCAGACTCCTGAAGTTTCAAGGATGTCTCTTAATTTCACCAACCATCCATACACTTTCCGCAGCACGACCATCAAGCCATCACAAAAGAACACAAGCACGCAAATTCCACGCAAGTCTACGCCCTGGGAAAGACAAATGACAACGAGCATCGAAATTGGAAGCAAAAGCATCATCGCGAAAGCATGACGATGCAGTGCCACGTTCAACACGTAGTACGGTGCGGCATGAGACGTACGGATAGAGAACTACGTGCAGACAGAGAAAGAGCACAACATCGAGGCGACATCGGCTTCGGAGTCGATTCGGGTTTCTAAAAGATCCCTGGAGCTTTGGAAGGCTTCGGCACATCGCATGACCACTTTCACCGGGCGGCGCTTTGCATGCCGCCGTTGTTTCACTTCGCCTTCTGCCCAAGCCTGCATCATCTGCATCCGGAACAGTGAAGACACGAAACGACAAATCAGCTCGTAAAGTCTTGCTTAGTACTGTGTATTTCGGCGCTCACACTCAAGTACTGTGTATTTAGAGTATCTGCTATCACGTACAACATCACACAGGTAAACTGTACAAGGCGTGTCGTACCGAGTCTCTAGTTCGTGGCATATCATAAGCAAGTGGGTCGGGCTCCGGGCTCTTATAATCTCTTATATAAATAGCGAAACACGGCTCGTGCCTGCCACCATTCTGGACAGCGCGCCGCCAAGGCGTGGTCCCAGTGTTTCCGCGCTGAGGAGGCCTGGAAGCCAGAGCCGAAGCTGGGACCAAAGAAAGAGCTGGGAGTTTCCGAAAACAAGGGGTCCTTATTTTGGGGTCCTTATAATAAGGATCCTACTATTTAGGGTGCTATATTAGGGTCCCCTATTTTCGGAAACCCCCAGCTCTTTCGAGCTGCCAGAACGGAGGAAGAAGTGGCTGAGCTCACCCCGACGTCCTGAGACACAGGTGCTCCCTGGCCTCGTGCCCACGGCACTGCAGCGCAGCAAGGACGCTCTCCTTGCCTTGCATCGAGGGGCCATGCAGCAAGGTTGCGGAGTTGAAAGGGGCGGGGTGCTGCTATCTGCAGCCAAGTTGCTCACCGGGCGCTTGTCTGCCACAATGGTGCCATGCAGCTTTCTCGTGGCAACCTTCGGGCGCGACAAAAACTGGAACTCCGTAAGGAAGCCTCAGGGCTCAAAAGATCTCAAAAGGAACGTGAAAATGTGCCATGAACTTGGTTGACTTAGCCTTGGCTCCAGCGGCCTCGTACCAAACCCTTGCGCATGGCGGTTTGCCGGGCCTGTCCTCCACAAAGCCGATGGCAACAAATTTAAATGCAACTGCCTAGTTCCGCTGGCCCATCTTACCAGGAAAAATACACAGGCATAGCAAAGACTCTCTCAATGTTCAAACCTGCCGGAGAGGGTAGCGCAGAGGGCCATGCTGCACAGGAGTCACCAAACCATCCTACACAAGTCCTTTGTCAGCTCTACTGTCAGCAGCACTTCCGTCTCGTGGGGCTCCACGATGTGGAAGTCCTTCAGGCAAGCCGGAACTTGGGTTCAAGACCGTGCGTAGCATGAGTGCGCCATACGCTGCAACTCGACAGGCCGGCCAAATGCCTGCAAAACCGAAAAGCCGTCGCTCTGAGTTCTGCTGCTCCAAACTCTAACCCCCTGCGATGGGCATTCAGCAGTCCCGGCCATGCAGCGTCGCTCCATCCACGTTCACAGCGACCTGCGTGGACATCGCCTCCCAGGGTGGGTTCTTTGCTTACACGTCTGTGCACGGAAACATGTTTAGCACTCGCATGGAAACACACAGACGTATCTACTTGTGATTACATCCATCTATCCATCCATGCATGCATGCATGCAGCATGCACATACACACAAACGCATACGCATGCAAGGGCACGTGCACGTGCACAGAGACATAGACACGGACATAGACGCATACACATACACAGACACATGCAAGCATATGCATGTAGATCGCGTCGGGGTAGGATGAAGACGTCAATGGTCTGTAGATGTTCCAAAATATGCTTGGAGATGTGCTACTTCCAGTGCTCTATATTAGTCCCGCAGGTGTTCAAAAGCTGTCTCTCTCTCTCTCTCTGTCTTTCTCTCTCTCTGGGTCTGAGAAGGGTTTTGGGCTCCTTGGCATGACAGTGGCAAGGATAGTCAAGGATTATACATCTCGATATACATATACATATATATATATATATATCTGTGTGTGTGTGTGGTGTGTGTATACATACACACAAACATGCACACTACACACTTGTGCACGTACGAAACGCGCGTGGGTGTATGTTGCGCATGTCTCGGGGATTCGGTGTCTTTGCTACAGCATGTCTTGGATTGCCCCTGTCTGCAGATCCTTGTTCAACCCGGCAACCTCATCAAAGCCCGAGCCCGCCTCGCGATCCCCTGGCACGAGGATGTTCTGCGAGTTCCACGCCTTGTCGACACCCTGGCCAGGCTGCAGCGGGCGAATCCTATTCCACAAGCCGCGACATGGCGCAAGACTGATGCAAGCTGCTGCAGGCGTGGCTGAGTGACAGTGCGAAGCTCAAGACCCTCAGAGGCGGGGCGGGGAACCGATGGGAACCGCCAGTTGCTGCTTCGGGGCGGCGGGCACAAGACGCCAGTCCCACAGCTTGTTGGCACTCAGGATTTGGAAGGACACAGCGACCTCAAATCGATTGAGGAAGCTCTCAACCTTTCGACCAAAGGCTATTAGAGCTAGGTGCAGGAAGCATGGTCGTCCAATCGGTGCCCTTCATCAGTTGGGAGTCGGAGTTTTTGCATTGGCTGCACATACAAACGCAATCACCAACGAAACTTTAGAATCTTAGCTCGAATTGCGAAGGGCCCACTGCCGTGCACGTGTCATCATTTGTCACGAAATGTCGAGATGCTAGTCGTAGGCTATCTCACAACTTTTCCTGTAATCAGGCTTTCCGTGCATCAGAGAGGTGTTACATAAATCAGCGTGCTCGGCGAGAGCCATTGCTCCCACACACCACACTGAAACCTAATGGGAACACATGTCCCGAAAGTCTCCGAATCTTGTGCCCCCCCCGGCTTGAAGCTCCTGAAACTCCAGCGCGATACCTAGAATCCAGAGCCCGCCGAAAGGCAAACACGAACTGCCAGCTGATGGGCATTCCTCGGGCCCAGGGCTCAAGCTCTGTGAGTTCGTAGGTTTGAGGCTTTTGGGTGGTTTCGGGTTCGTAGGGTTCAGAGGATTATACAGGTTCTTGAGGACTTCGGGTTAGTGAGGTTTAGAATGTGTATGGCAACGGTTTCTGGGTACAAGCGCTGGGATTTTACTTACCTGGTTGCTGATAATGCATCTGTGCTGCGCATTCCAAGCTTAACCTCGTAGTGACCGAGGGTCTATGTTCTGTCGACTGACTACCGTAGTTGTAGTACATCACGTATTCTCAAGTGCTTAGGTGCCTGACCACTGCTGGCGCTACAGTCGTACGACACAGTCGTACCCCACCATGCTATAGAATAGACAAAAAAATACATCACATGATTGTGAATGCGCAGTTATGTCAGCCATACCTCACCGCATTCAGCGATGTTACCTCGGAAACCCAAGGAAGATAGCTCTGAAATTCCACGCACCTATTGAATCTATTGGTCGTTGGTCTTTTTAGGACTGCGGGACACCATTGAAACTTAAACCGCCTACATTCTGCACAGTCCTACTGACCTGCAGGAGTCGAGATACTCTCCTGCAGACAGGCCCTGAAATCAAACCTTCCTACCCTGGTCCAAAGCTAGACAGAAGGGATCAGAGGGCCAGGATGCACACAGGGTGTTTTTCGCCTCCCGCCTGGCTAGGACGAGAGGCACCGAAACCCCTGTGTGTATCTCAGCCCTCTGATCTGTACAGGGTTTTGGACATAGGCGATATATGGCGGTATAGGGTTTCAGCCCCTCACACACAACCTTGACGCAGAAAGTGTTCGCCGACAACCTCTGACCCAGTGCCTCAGTAGCCGGCGGCAGATGTTGAGGTCTAACGTCAGTGTCCGAGCTAGACGGCTGAATGTAAGAATATAAACCCCTGCATCGTCAAAAGGCCTGGCTTGTCGTCTCCAGATGCGGGCTGCAGTCTCACCGCCAGCTGGTGGATCACCTCGGATCACGCCATGTTGTAATCATTTGGAGCAGCTTACAGGGCTCCAGCAACGAGATGTGTTGCGCCACCATTTCTAGGGTGGCATGAAGATGTGGTGCAGGGTAGAAGCTGCGACAGACTGCACACAAGATATACGCAAGGATGGGATTCAGAAAAGAGGCAAGGTCAAACATTCGGGGCTCATGCATGTGTGCGTGTGTGTGTTTATGTGTGATAAGTGTCGTGTGCATGACATATGTGTATGTATGTGCGCATGTATGTATGCGTGCATGCATGCATGCATGCATGCATGTATGTATGTATGTATGTATGTGTGTATGTATGTAGGTAGGTAGGTATGTATGATCATGTACGTACGTCTGTGCGGTCTGTAAGTATGCATTGAAATCTGTATGTTTTTGTGCTGCGCATGTACACAACCACTTCTATACTATATACCTTCACGGTATGGTTCTTTATGTCTACATGTCAAGCCATGAGCGGACATGCAAGTGCGGCTTTTACACAAGGAGAATCGCGACAAGAAGACTTGCAGCCCTTTACGAAGCCAGCTACTTGTGTGCTGCGAATTCGGGTGATATCTAACAGCTGCCAGGCGATGCCGGCCAGACTCCCATGCTCCAATCCCAGTCTGGGAGCCACGCATGCGGCTATGCCGGAATCAACAGTAAGTAGGGTACGTATTATCGTGAACAGGTTTAACTCTCGTGCATCAGCCGCGCAACTGGTGTGACTGTGGGTGTGATGTGCAGTTTTCGCACGACATCCACTGAAAGTTCAGGTGCTGAGAGGCCGCTACACTAACTCACTCTTCTGCGGAGTCGCAGCGCAACATGCACGTCAACCAGACACCTCCATTCCGCTCTCGGCCTGGTTGAAGCCGAAGTTGAAAAGTCGCTCCTTCAGGTTGCGGAGTCCTGGGCCAACCAACTTTGGAGGCAGCGCCTGCCAAATTAGTCACCCAGGATGGGAGCTCGCCAACTCCCAGAAGTTGGCATAGTTCATCGGCGAAGTGCGTGCAGTTCTTGTTGAGCAAATCATACTGCCGCCCACGCCATCGCTTGGCCATGTCGACAAGAAGCATCTGCACTTCGAAAGGGGAGAGGTCCGTGTATCCCATGTGTACCGATTCTCGGTACGAGTGCTGTTCGCACTCTCCCGGTGGATTTTCAAATATTCCAGGACCCCATGGCGTTTGCCCGTAGCTCCACTCTCTACCATGAACTTCCACGGCAGCGTGGAAGGCACCTGTGCCGAAAGGGCGCAATAATCCGTTAACAAATTGCATCGGCGCAGTGCCAGTCACATCATAGATGTGAACGATGACTGGCGACGGCGCTGCTGGAGGGCAGCAAAGATTGCCCATCTTTTATGAATATAATCAGAAACCGAAACTTCACCGTTGCGGCCGATAGCTTTGGGCACGAACGGCTTGAGCCACGGGATTTCGGGGTCAGAAGACTTTAGTACTTGAGTAAACAAAGATAAGTTGATAATCAATGATTCCCGTTCCCCATCTCACGACGACGTGTGCAAGATGGTGGAGGGTAGCATGTCATACCAAGACCTCGATGGTGTAAGCATAGGTACACTGCCAACGCTTCGCGGACATCGAGGAGTCTGGCCGAGGTGCTTCGTGGCCGTCCACGCTGCCGACTGCGCTGAAGCGGAACCCCTGCCGTGCTCAGAGCGGACTGGATGCGAACTGCAAGTGCAGAAGCTTCCAAGAAAAGGACCACCACTCCGGAAGATTCTGAGATCTCCAGCTCTGTGCTGCGCGCATGTGAAGTCTTGCTAGCCAGAGAGGGCCTGGCTCAAGCTCCAGCTGTTGGAGTCGCAAACCAGGACGAGGGGCTCTTGGCATTCGATTGGTCCTTGATTCAGAGGTTTCTTTGAGCACAAGGGCGTTCCCGCGAAGTTGCTACCTGCAGCTTGACGCCAAAGGACAATCACTCGCGTGCTTGATTCTAGCCTCGTTTCCCTCAGTCCAAGAACACATTCTGGCATCAAGGCTACAGCTCCAAACAAGCACCTGCTAGAAGCCAACACGCAGAGTTGCATCGCACTGCCCTAAGAGCAAGCCACGGCCATGTCCTGCCGTGGCTAGCGTAGTTGGCCGTGCTAGTGGTGTCGGCACAGCGGCGGGGCTCGGCTTTGCGAGCCCCTGGCAAGTGTACCTGAGTCTCCGAATTCAATGTTGCAGGAAAGGCTGACATGTGCTGACCTCAGCCACACCCTGGATTTCACGGCGTCCAACAAAGCCGGTATGCCACAGTGTAACGCTCCTCGCCGGTTCCCTCCCAGACATCGCGAGGTGCAGCGTGATGCCTCGGCAGATCTGGTTAATCGTCCGAGTGCACTTTCGCTTTCTATCAAGAGTTTTTCATGGCTTGTCTTCGTCTTGCAGCATAAGACTACTAAGACCACCACTACTACTACTACTACTACTACTACTACTACTACTACTACTACCAAGTTGCTACGGCTGCTGCTGCAACTACTGCATGATGACGACTCCGACGACTCCTGCGACCACCACGACGACTACTGCGACTGCCCCTGCCCCTGCCCCTGCGCCTGCGCCTGCCCCTGCCCCTGCCCTGCCACTGCCACACCGCCACTGCTGCTGCCACCGCCACTGTCACTGACAGTCCTACTGCTGCTCCTGGAAGGCTGCTCCTGCTGCTGCTCCTGCTACTGCTGCTTCCTACCGCTACGGCTACGGCTACGGCTACACTGCTCCGCTGGCAGGCCTTCCCACAAGAGTTTACGATGACGCCAGCTGGCAAAAACGTGAAGCTGTCGAAACTTTTTTCGAAGCAGGGCTCTACAGTCGATGCCTGCCCCTCCAACCCTGAGCTCATGTCAGGACAGGAAGGCCAACAAAGAGAGCGGTCACATGTGGATACCAAGTTTCATGCGGCTGCCATAGTTGATACTATTTGATGAAAATCAGCACCGTCCACCGAACACCAACAATTGACGAGGCTTTGCCCCGCAGTGTTGAATCGAACTCACATAGTCCAATGCAAGGCTTCCATGAGTCAGGGCCATACTGTTCCAACCACAGTTTGTGTCATAGATGTACAACGATGCACATGATGTACCAACCCTTCTGTTTGCAGCCAGGTGCGACTTCCCAAAAGTTCGTCAATCCAAAAGAAGGACTGCTGCCTGCAGGCACATGCTGTCCAGCTCGACTTCAATGCGGCCCAATGCAAAGACCCTGGACCGTGAATCCTTTCTGGAAGCTTAGGAAGCTTAGGCTACGACACACACGAGATGCCCATTGGCATGCAGTGTAAACGGATTGAAGGCCAAACCCTACATCCTCAACTCAGGAAAAACTGGTGCTGCGGTCCACACAAAAGTATTAGCCGCCTCGCACCCCACGAGGCCCCAAGCCGCACGCTCGGAGCCATCTTGTAGCTGCCATTCGGGGGTGCCTCTCTCCGGCGCTTTCGGAGGGCTCGGGGTTTGCTGAGGCTGATACAGAGCTGCACGTTTATGATTTGGCATGCTTTATCCGCAAGAAATTGGAGGTATGCCTGGCACGATGGGTGGACGACTTGTTGCGACACCGGGAGCTGCAGCAGTCTCTGAAAGAGGCCTCGCTCTTGCTTCTTTCATGCCTGTATAGCCTTCTGAGTCTACTCGTTCCGCTCTGCAAACGCTGTTGCAAACGCTGGCTTCTGCCCACTGCGTAGTCAATGCCTGCCCACCTCATCCGAGCAGAGGCATCGAGAAGGATCGCTGACGCGCACCACTTGAAACATACCTTCCCACCGGACCCCACATGACCCCATGACAATGCGATTCTTGTAGCCTCTGCCCTGGGCAGTGCCAAGGCTGGCTCGACGCGATCTGCCTTTTTGGCTGCAGGCTTGCAAGCAAGAACGCCTGGTAGTGAGCCACTCGAAACCCGACAAGCTAAGCCCTCAGGGCACTTCGCCACCGAGACCTGCTTTTCGTGCGACCTCCCTCTGGCGGAGCTCCACCGAGGAGGAAGTTGAGCCGATAGGTTTTCCTTGGCTTGTGGATGCTGGCTGAGGTACATACTACAGTACTAATAAAGAAGATTAAGCAATGACACTCCGAAAGAATCATCATCATGACAATAACGATAACTATCGCGGCATGAATAACAAGAGTCAAAATAACTATAGTAGCAACAATGATAGCAATACCAATTGGGAGGCCGTCGCGAACTTGCGAGGGATGCGGTTAACTCAAGCTGCTGCTCCGCGCAGCATCATACCAGCCCGACTAGAAGTAGTGAGTAAATGATCACTTCAGGCGGCCGAGGGCCAGATTTGCAAATTATACACACGCATGGAAGCATATCTCATAAAGACACCTCGAAACCATCCCCCGTGCCTCGAGTCAAGTGTAGGGCTTCCAACCTCATGCCGATGCAGGTCCCTGAAAGCTGCTCCCAAAAAAGTCCCGACACCAACTTCAAGGTCGGCTCGAAGAGGTTGCAGAGTTCATGAGCAGGCTGATACCCAAGCTTCCATATCCAAACCGTGGCCCTTCACGTAACCATAAACGCTACTGTGAACCAGCTGAACCCATTTTGGACCTGCAGACCCTGTGAAATCCAGATCTCTGCTTTGAGAAGCGGCCTGGAGGATCCTTCATCGTCGCAGGCCTCGAACACCAGCCTTGGTGAGGCTAGCATCAGTTTAACCGTTCTTGTAACCTTAATATGATATAAGTCTGAATAAGTACGTCTACACTTGTACTTGTAACTGTATGTGTCACTGTTGCAAAAGCATGGCTAGTGAAACATAGTGAAGTATAGCTGAACAAAGTAAAGCATACAAGAATGACGCACCTTTGGTAACATGACTCATCAATACTGTCGCATGGTACTGTCTCATGCTAAACAGGCGTACATATTGGGGTCCTCAATCTTGTGCTCCAGGGGTTCCCTCAGCAACAATCCTGGTCCAAAGTCTTGATACTGTAGTATCAGTGCAAGCCGTTCGTGGCAGACAGCAGCACTGACCACAGCCATAGTTCACAGTAGTTCATAAGTGAGTTGCAACAATTGAGAATGAATAGCCATACACATGGACGGAGACGCCGCAGCTAGATTAACATACCCATGCATGTGAACTGCAGCCCAGGCATCCGAAGCCGCTGAATCCCAACTCCTGCGTCCTATGCCCTGAATCAACACCCCTGGCATGAACTGAAGGAGGCCACCAAGCGGCTCGGAGCTTTCAAGATCCCAGGCATTGACCTGCTAAGACTGCACGAACCAATATATATATATATATGTATGTATGTATGTATGTATGTATGTATGTATGTATGTATGTATGTATGTATGTATGTATGTATATATGTATACATACATACATACATACATACATACATACATTCATACATACATACATGTAAATGTATATGTGCAGATACATATACCTCTCTCTAGGTATGTATATACCCATATACATACAAAACTCACACACACACACACACATATATATATATGATATGATATTATATATGTGTGTGTGTGTCATGCGTATATATGTACCCAAAAAGATAGACCAACACATACAAACATGTTTCTTCTGTCTTAACGTCTCTGAGTGAAGTATCTGGGCTTTGGGAGATGTTCTCGCGTTCCTCGTGCTTGTGAATTCAGGCTGCGGTCTCTCGCATGTGTTTCGCCTCAGAAGCGCAGTAGCTTCGTGACCTCTTGTCCCCATGCAGGCACTGCTATATGGCTGCTCACACATCAAGGATTTCTACCTCCATGAAGCTGGAACTATCTGAGCCCGAAGGTCTTCTGCGAAGCCCGACGCCTCAAACACTCAATGCAACGAAGGACGGCACCTCTGCCAGCAAGCACAGCTTGTCGGACGCCTCCTGCTGTATGCGTGGTTGGGTGAGCTGACCCTGTCCAATGAGGTTCGTGAAACCCTCCGCGCCCATGACTGTACTCCTTTCGTGGCATCGGCTTTGGCGTTCCCAAGGCTGTGATGATTCGGCTCCTCCTCTGGAGGCCTACCCGCCAGTTTAACTGTCTACCTACCTATCTGCATCTCCGTCTCTCCGTTTGCATCTATTCTCATCGACGTGCCCGATCTAAGCGGATTTAACACAAACATGCAACCGCCGGAAGGCGCACACAAAGGAGCCCCGGCTCGGATCACCGGGATGAAAGCGACTGAATCTGCAAGCTTCGGACCTTGAGGCTCCCTGTCCCAGAAATCTCGATTCAAACCCGAGGTGCTTCAGCCCTGTTGGCCTGCCTTCGGGCTCTCCATCTTGCGGGGACCATGCTGCAAGTTGGCTTTTGGGCCGAGGAATCGGTAAAAATCCTAGCCTTTGAAGTTGTCGCCGTTCTAGTGGGGACGTAGGCTTTCTACAGGGTTGGCGGCTTCGTGTGGTCAGAAGACTCTCGTCCTTGGCAGCTTCGGAGCTAGATGCCACCGTACTGTCGAACCTTCTGCAACACATATCCTACAAAATCTGCTTGCAGCCTGTGTTGCTATCGGGCACTGAGCCTCTGAGCCACCCAAGGAGTGCCCGTCCGGCCAGTCAATATGAGAGTTCCAGATAAGCATGTACCCGTCTGCAGAATGCAAAGCTACGAGATCCTTACTCTAACGACCCCCTCATGAAGTGCCCACTGCTTTAACGACATCCCATTTCAGGAAGAGCTAAAGCTCTAAGCCCCCGCGAGCCCCTCGCCGTCTCGATGACACTTCGAGTGCGTCGGAGCTCCTCTTGCGCTTGCTCGAACTTCCTCCGGACTGAGGGCTCATGGTGGAGTTTGGACATGAGGGTTCTACAAAGGCTCTATTGGGGGTTGGGTTCTATCGGGGTTGCATAAGGGTTGTACGTACAAGTGTTCTAGGTTCAAGGCCTGCGGTTTAGGGCTTGGTGACCAAGGCTCTCGACCGTCTCAGCCAAACATGTGAACTTCTCTTGTGAAAAGACGACGCAACGAAAGAACTCTCTTGCGCTCGACTCCGCCACGTGCCAGCCAAGGCTCCCGTGCTCGAGGCACTTTCGGCAGTTCTCAATCTTAGCAGCAGATGTCGGCTCAGCACTTGGTCACTCCAGTCTGATGGCAAAGCTTATCAGCTGTCATGAGTTCATGATGAACTGCCCTAGTCTAAATTAGACGCTCCTCTGCCTAGCACACAGCGAGATGCCATGGCAACACGGTAAACACTCCATCACCCAACTCCAACACCGAGCACTGACCCTGCGATGTCGAGACAGCATGCATACTCCGCCTGCTGCTGTTGCCGCTGGAGGCGCCCAACCCGGCTCGACCGTCCATCATACATATTGTAATGTAATACATGCTCAAATGTAACATATACAACAGTGGTTACAACAGTGCAATATGTGCCATCATGTCATATAAATCATGATGTCACACATACTATGATGCAATCTATGCTATAACGCAAAATGCGTGTATACACATATATATATATATACATACAAAAATCCCTTCCATCTGAGGACAACACGAACGGAGTGCCGGGGTGTCGCGACAGGGCTTGGCCTGGCTCCACCTTGCCGAGGGCCAGGGTCCAAGGTTTGGGCACCCTTGGGCGTTAGATTATGAAGGCATCAAAGGCGGGGATGGGCTTCCTTTCCTTGTGGAAAGAAAACCAAATGATAAACGACATTGTGTCGTCTTGTTTCTGTGGCTAGCGAGCGGTTTGGCATCCGACAAAGCTTCCAACTCCGCAGCTTGGCAGGAAGCAGAGACAAAGCTAACATGCACCGATAACATGAATATCGCTGCTGCTGTCCTGCATCATTCAAGCATCTGTATCAGAGAATGCTCTGCGGCTTTGTATAATGCACATGTCGTATCTCAATGCGGGCAGGATTACACGGTTACTACCCTGACGAGCTGCACAAGTTTCATGAGGGCCATTCAGGTTCTTTGGTTGGCAATGGGGGTGGGGACATTCTTGGATGTCTTTCGCTTCCTTGGCTTGATGCCTATGCTCTGAAGCACTCCAGGCTATGTCTGAACCATGAAGATGTGGCAATGAAACACAGCTGCGACCAGGTTGCATATGGGTGCTGCTGAATGATCTTCCTGAGACAGCCGGTGCTCAACTGAAAGTGTCGAGCCGATCGATACTCATCGAAGACCGTCTTGCCTTGAACTCTATGTTTTTATATGACATTTGTCGTACTTGGCACGACCAAAGCACAGTGTAAGTATGATTATGTAGCAGTGTAGGCCAGCATGGACGGCTCTAACTTGTGGGGCTTGCTCATGAAACTGACGCACAGTACGGCTTTATGTCTGTATGTATGGCCACGTGTAGTACATTCGTGACCAAAGATGACTGCATCTGCCTCCTTCGTCGGATCCCCTGAGCGCCCAACAGAGATATGAGAATGTATGAGATTGCCTTGCCATTAAACTCACGAATAGTAGTTTGGCGACACCTTCCACCATGCCCCTGGCCCGTAAACCCCAAGAGTTGAACCCCAAATTTAAGCCTATTAAGGGCAAGGGCCCTCGAGTTGGCGGATTGGGGTAGCAATGCAGCTCTGCCACTCCAGCTGCGCCCGAATAGCAGACTCGGCGAGGCTCATGCCCCTTGCAAAGTGGGCTCTTGCACTTGGTCAGGGCGTTTCGCGTCCGCTTTCAGGAATGGCATTGGTGGACGAGGAGAGGAGGAGGGTAGCAGAAGGAACACTGACAATAGCAGACCTTGTGAATATAGTACTAGTCATCATAACTTGACCTAGAAAGACCGCGACTAACAGGCATGAACACGCTGATGCTAATAATAACTCGTAATTAACATCACGGAACCGGAATCAGGACTAAAGAGACTGAAACTACAATCTAGCACTCGTACTGGTACTAGTACTAGTCGTAGTAGCAGTCGTCGTCGCGGTGCTGGCGGTGGCGGTGGTGGCGGTTGTGGCGTAGCGGTTGTAGGAGGGGTAGGGGCAGTGGTAGTGGCGGTCATAGTGGTGGTGGTGGTGGTCGTGGTGGTGTCGCGGCGGCGGCAGTGGTGGTCAAACCTCAAACGCCCCAACTGCCCGAAAGTCGAACATGTCGCTGCCTCGATTCAGCAGCTGCTTTGGCTGCTGTTGGGGATGCCGGCGCAGCCTGGTGCCAAGTCTAAGACAACGACCCCGTCAGCTCAGCCGGCTCTTGCCTCTGTCGCCCGCGGCGCAGCTGCCAGGGATGGAGCCGCAGCCGTGGCCTCCGCGGCCTCCAAAGCCAAAGACACTCGACACGTGCTCGGGATCCTGGTCTGTCGCTTGGGACAGGCCAACAATCGTTTCAATCCGTCCCATACACAAAGCCACCCAACAGTCGCCCTGGACTCGAGACCTTCAGTCCTTCGATGCAGACTCGACATAGCACAGCACTGCTCAATACTGCGTGATCAGCCCTCTTCTGTTGCCAGGCCTTTGCCTCGACCTTTCTGCCGTCTCGGCCAGGCATGTCACCTTTGCTTTGGCTAAACTGTTCCCGTTCCAAGGTCCCGTCGGCGGGATGCCTCAACAGTTGACAACCCCCAAGCGAGGTCTGCCATGATTGCCGCCTTGGACATAACCTGCCCACACCGCTTCGAAACACAATGGCCAATACATAGAACAGCAGCGGCAACTCCTGAATGCAGTGAGAGCCCCGTGCAGCAGTCGCAGTTCCCCCTGATAGTTGAAGACTCAAACTTGGTATTCTGAAGTTCGAGGCGCAAGTGAACAGCCACGAGATGAGCTGCTCGTAAGTGACCTGTTCGGATAGGCACGTTGGATTCCGGAATTCTTTGCGATTCCAGCCTTGCCCACACACGCACGGTCGACAGCTTCTTGGCATAGAAACCCAAGGCCGTCTTTACATAACCAAGCGAGTACTTGACAGCACGCAAAGAAGCAGGTAGACATGTGTCCCGGCATATGCGACGTTGTGTGTATTCAAAGAGTAAACATTGTGTAGCAGAAACGACTCTCGTATATGCTAAAGAGTAAACAGAGTGTAGCAGAAACGACTCTTGTATATGCTAAATGCATGACCAACTTCTCAGCACAGTGACATGTGATGAAGGTCAAAATGCAAGCGTAACACCCGAAAGCAACGAATAAAACTTCATTGTATTGTTATACATACAGGCCACAAGCCACATGGAATGTGGGACCAAAGAGTTAAACATCATACAGTACAAACTCTGGACATGCATACCAATATACTCGAAACGTCTCAAAGGACGGTCAAGTAGTTGGAGCAACGCAGAATGATTAGGACAGAAGCTGTAAATGCGTTTCTATGCTAGATCTGCGTCGAAATATTGCACGAAGAAAGACGACATGTGCAAAGAGCGGCCTACAAGCCCTTGCCGCCTCTGCGAGATGTCTACCGGACAGAGTACAAAATCTGCTGCCAGGACGTGATCGAACTCTTGTGCAAGTAATTTGCTGCGCACCGCGATTGTCGTGGACTCGCATACATCGATCGTCGATACATGAGAAGGGCAGAGCAAAGCAGTATTCCCGCATGAGGTACCAAATGGAAGTGTTCTAGCGGAGCATACCACATCAAGCGAAATGATCTATGATGTCAAGAAACTGCAAGAACAACCAGGTAATGATACATCGAAACATGCAGTAAGAAGTGCAGGTACTGAGTATGAAGTGATAAACACTTCATAACAAACTACGCAGTCAGACATCATGACAACCATACCTAAGCCCCTGTCATCAACACCGCCACATGGACACTCTATGCCTAGATAATGTGCAAACATATACCTATAAGTGTGTGTGTGTATGTATATATACACTGACATATGAATAACTATACACGTATAAAACGTGCATATACATATGTATGTGTATATATATATATATGTCTATGTATATGTATATGTCGCCTTGCCAACTTGGATTCTGTAGATGGTGTGTATGTGTCAGTCCATCCACTGCCACGACGACCAAGAAAACCAGGACCAACAGCACGAGCCCCAGGAGTCCATCCGGGGCTTTCAAGGGTTTCGATAACACGATGACCTGCCGGAAACGTGGTGCATAGCATGGTATGATACAGTACTTACCGTCTAGCATAATATAGTCTGATACGAAATATTATGCAGTACAATATCATAACGTATCAGGCGACCTTGCCAGAGCCGCTGCTCACAGCATCGATCATCGAACGAAGCCGCCTGTGGCTGTGCGGCTCTCGGAGGTGGAGGGCTTAGGGAGCCATCGATGATTCACGACTCGAAGGGGTTGCTGCGCGGGATGCTCAGAGGAATCGTGGCATGAAGTGACGGCGAGGAGACAGCCATCGACACGAACAGAAACAATGCTGATTACCACAGTCCAGGTGATAGCAGCAATACCTTTCCCATACTAGCTGAGCTTTGTTCAGCAACTCCATCTGACCGATCTGACGCTCGCTTGCGCATGAGAGCTTGCTGGCCCCCCAATTTACGAAAGCTTGAAAGAATGAGCTCCGCACTCTTCGCTCAGCTCGACGCCGAGGGCATTGAGGAGAACCCGCACCTGGCACTTCTGTAAAGGCTGAAGCTTGACCATGTTCAGAATAGGCCTTGAATGAAACATCATGCTCCTAGGCCCTGAACACAAGAAACTCCATGAAGTGCCCCTCACACTTACCTTCTGCAAGAGGTCCCGAAGTCCAAACCCGCCTGCTTTTCAGTCCAGTATCCGGACTCTGGCAGTGCCGTGCGGAAGGCACGGAGAATTTTCTCGTGCTGACTCTGCCGCTCTGGCGGCCTCAGCCCAACACCAAGGAATTATAGCGACGGTCAGAATCCAAAATAGCAAGCCTGAGCTGATAACAAGTATAAGTACTGACTGCCAGGTTTTGCGTGAAGAATCGGTAGGAAGTATCATCCTTCGGGCACTGTGCTAGAGCATGCCCACAAACTATACTTGTAAGATACAGGCGCCCATATAATCATATAATCCCAAGCACTCAGGCCCACTAGCTTTCAGGCCACCGAGACACATCCCCGCAACCGTGGCCATGCTAAGAGGCGGCCGACCCAGCGGCGGTGGATTTTGCACCGCCGCACCCGGTGCCCGAGACGCCCCCTCCCGAGCCACTGTACAGCTGAGACCAGGGTAACAGGCCTTACTGGAGAGCTTCGGGTTTCGATTTAGCCTCTTGGACTTTGGGGCTTGGGGCTTTTCGGGCTTAGGGCACGGGCGTCTTGGGCTTTAGAAGGTTGTGACACAGAAGAGTCTGCACTGCAATGGTCTCCTGAACCGCGCTGTCATACATTCAAACGAAATGGCCTCTGTCTCCCTCTCTCTCTGTGGTGTGAGGGTGCGACATGGACGTTAGGAACATGTTTTGGCCTCATCGACCACAATGCATCTGAACACCCTCCCCACATCTGCCCGTCTTCAGGGTGCCAAATCCTCGACCCCAACATCTCGCCCCAAGAAGCCGAAAAACAGGCTTCCGACACAGCCTGGTCCATGAACTCTTGAACTGCCGAACGCCTCACTGCCCTGCCCGCATTGTCATCTCATCTAACAAGCGGCCCTTCCAGTAGGTCTGCCAGGGCCTCGACCATGCGTCAGAAACATCCAGCTTGTTTTACGCCGCGTTTTGCCTTTCGGTGCCTGCTGTTTCCGTTGCATCAGCATCCTCCTCGGCAGGAGCTGTCTTCTGCCTGCCGGCTACTGCAGGATGATGCTAAACCAAGCCGCTCAACGAACTCTGGAGTTGTGCTAACCAGGCGAGGCTTCTCAAGGACGTCCGGGCTGTCTGACAGTGGGCGTCGTCGTCTGGGCTTTTTGGCTTTCTGCATTCCTACTGTAGACTCCGATGCTTCCTCCCTTTTCTGCACTAACCTCTAAGGCTGTCAAGCCTTTAGGAGAAGCTTACCTGCTTGAATGTTGCTTGCACAAGGGCACGCCCATCTCATTCCGCACCTTGAACAGGTTCCAACACCGCGCAAGTCCCCAAGGTGAGGAAGCTGGTTCGAAGGACAGGTTGCGCAATACGAGGGAAGACTTCATGCGGCAGATAGCAGCGAAGATGCGCAAACCCTGCTTGACCAGCCCATTCATCTAGTGTGAACCTCCGTGAGCATCAGGAGCAAGTTTCACTGAAAGTGATCCGGAATGAACATCCGCATCTTCCAGGTTTAGTAGCAAGAAAGACTCCTCTCTGTTAATCTGTCAAAAGCCTTATGAGAGCCTTTAGACTGCTGCAGAAAAAGCTCTGTCAAACCCCTGAGAAATTGAGCCCACAACCCCTGCCCAGATATCGCCATCGGCACGCCCGCTGGCTTGGGCACTTCTCGGCCTCTTTCTTGGATCCTCCACAATGGAAGCCCGCTCCAGGAGCTGGATGGCCTGATCCGCATAATGGTTTCTGGCCGAAGGCGAACTCGGAAGTTCTGGCTGCGATAGGAAGGAGACTAGAAGACTGAACTGGGCCCAAAAAATCTTAATCTCCCCTGACAATGAGTTCCCAAGTGGCATAGTATAATATACCCCCAAGCCTCAGTCTCAAAGCTAAGGTTCCAAGGCAGGAATAGACAGGATTGGAGGCGTCTTCTTGCTTTTGGATCCCGCAACCCTGGCAGTCCAAGTGAGGGAAGTGAGCTTCATGGTCCCACTCTCAGAACGGACCAGACGTCCACAAATAAACACAAAAAAAAGTGGCCGACCCCAACCCAGACCTGAACAAAACACCGCACGATTTGAGCGATGTTTCTCTTGTCCGGACTGCAAATACTACCACATCTCTGGGCTTACACACTGCGGCTCGACATGTGCAACACCGTGTGGTCTTCTGTAGGTCGTGCCGTGTCCTCGCTCGAGCTACAACCTTTCAAACTCTAATTACATATTATATATATATATATAGACCGGTGCTAGCAACCTTAATGGAATAGCGATGCATTGAAAATACCCAGCGATCACACTTCGCTTGCCCTTATCGCCTGCGCCCTGATCGAGTGCCTGTTGGATGAACTTAACCCAGGTGTCAACATCCGGATCGTGGCATTTCGGAATAGTTTTCTTCAGGGGGTGTTCAAGCCTCTGACCGATACCACGGCTTTTCACGACAACCGGTCCCAGCCACTTCTGGGTCCCTGTTTCACCGCTTTCTCGGTCGGCTTCCATGGTCACCTTCAGCGGCGCCGACTGCAAATGCAGTTCACACTCTTCGCCATCCGCACAAGATGCAGGCACCTCCTGGAAGCACTGATTCCAAAACATCCACCGCACCCACGGCAGCGTGCATAGCCAGCAAGGGCAGCCACATGGCTGAAATGCGTGGCATATCTGCACAATCGGATTAAAAAACTGGCCAGTTTGCCGTTCCGCGTTTGGCCGCAGCCATTTTGAGGGTGTTTTTCGTTTGGGGGGCTATGTTCGGGTAACGTGGAAGGATAGTATATAATCGGGACTGCAAGAGCAGCTTGATTTCTCAGTCATCACGGACCTGCCTCGACGTGCACGGTCTGTGGGAAGGAATCCACCGCAACGGTCCGCACCGGAACGAAATCGTCAGCCTCCTCCTCCACTTTCATGTTCAGCCAGCATCGCAGCACAAAGAGCATTGACAATGGCAGCGACAACCGAAGACTAACAAGAAAGAGAAGCGGCACAAGGAGAGGAAGGAACCGCCACCAAGCCCACCACCACCACCCTCAACAAGAAGAAGACCAAGAAGATCAAGAACACCAAGAACACCAGCAACAAAAACAACAACAACAACAAC